CATGCAAGTTACTACAAGCAGCAGCTCTGCAGAGACAGGTGCACATGCCGCACTGACATGTATGTGCACTCACATGGTGATACTAGTAGTAGTAGAAGGAGAAGTAGTGGTAGTTGTTGTTGCTGCTGTAGTAGTAGTAGTAGTAGTAGTAGTAGTCGTGGTGGTGGTGGTGGTGGTAAGAATAGTAGTAGTAGTAGTAGTAGTAGTAGTGGTAGTAGTAGTAGTAGTTGTTGTTGTAGTAGTAGTAGTAGCAGCAGCAGCAGCAGCAGCAGCAGCAGCAGTAGGGATAGAAGTAGGGGCAGGAGACGGAGAGGAGAAGCACCATAGGGACAGGATAGCAGGAATAGTGGGGATACTATGGATAGTAGGAGTGGGAGAGAGGGGAAGTCCCAGGATCGACTCCGCGCACTGGCAGGGCGGCTACACTAAGCGAGATGCCAGAAATTGGACGGTTCTTCGAGTTTCGGTCGACTGCATAGTCGCTTCGTAATTTCGGGACGCTTCGCGTCGTCCACCTCGGCCCGGCCATTTCTTGGATTTGAGGCCTATAGGCTTTGTGGTTTGAAAGTAAAGTTAGGCACGGCTGCAGAGGCACAAGAGGGAGCAGACGCGAAGGAAGGAAGCGAAGGACTGGTCGGGGAGGGCGGCGGGTCCAGGGAAGGGGGGTGAGACGAAAATAGTTCCAGACTGCCACGGCCCGAAATTCCAGTGGACGATCCGATATTTTCACTGTGCCCGTGGAGCCGGTCAATGAGTCTGTAGGGTATTAAGAGGAGAGGAAGGAAACAGGGAGTCCCTCTAAGAAACCTCCGACCGATTCGGCCGATGGGGCAGAGGGGAAGTTATGTTGTGTGTGTGTGTGTATGCATGTATGTATGTATGTATGTATGTATATAGATAGATAGATAGATAGATATATATCGATATAGAGATGTGCAAACACATGTACATTTACATGTACATAGACATATACCTGCATAGACACGTACACACACACACACACGTAAACTTTGCTCTCGATAATCCGCGGATCGCAGCAATAACAAGTGCCATGCCTATGTGTGGATTTCGTATAGGGAAAAGGTACCACATGTAAAGAAAGTACTTTGGGTGGCCAAGGGGCATTGGGGGCAGAACAGCTCCAGTTTCACCCATGCTGTCTGCATCTTGAGCAGCGGCTGGTGCTATTGGAAACCACTTCTTCAGATTCAGAGAAGAGACGATTGGCTTGTGGTTTCGCCACTCTCTTTTCGGGCTGTGCATTGTTTCGGCAGTTTGTTGGCAAACATTGTGTGCGTGCGCGCACAAGTCATTCGCGACCACGACAAGATTCCGGAGCCTGCAAAAAGGCTCCGGTGCAAATGGAAGCACTTTGAGGAGGGACCGCATTGATGCAGTCGTGGAGCACCGCTTCCCAGGTCCGCGATGCTGAGGAGCGACAGCGCAGCAAGGATGCTATGGGCGGACCCGAGGCCAATGCTGCCGATGTGGGGCCTTCAAGTACGCCCTCAAAATGGCCAAGGATTTCCAGAAAGAGCGAAATCCAGCGAACAAAGACGAACCAAAAAGGAAGCAAGGAAGCCCAGCTCCGCGGCAGGAGCTTGCGGCAGCAGAAGGTGCCGCTCAACGGAAGCCGAAGTGCAAGCTCATACCGACGAGCCAAGTGGAATCCGCATACGCCCAAAAAAACTCCAGGAACTAATCCCCGGAAAGCACACCCTCCCCTTCTTGCACCTGAAGGGCCATCGCTCCCGATATCAAGGCGTCTATCAGTGTGCAGCTTTTTCCTCGGAGGCCATAGCTCTCCAGATCGTTCTAGAGCACATATTCCATTTTCACCAGGAGGCTCACCCGTACCAACCGGATCAGACAAGGACAAACTGTGGAGTGATCGCGGGCAAACCCGGCTATTTCGGGACCTCGGCTTCACATCAAAAGCTTGTGCCTTCGTGCGTATAGCAGCTCAATTGAATTTTCAAGTCATGCAAGGGTTTGGGAGTTTAGGGCCCCGGGGCTTAAGGTTTAGACCTGGTGGTTGTAGGGTCGGGATTTAGTATAGGTTTTTTTTGCTTTTCAGGCCCGCAACATGTCAGATTCAGGCCAAGTACAGAGAACGAGTCGGAGCGTGAAGAAAGTTGAGAACGACTGGGAACCAAGATGCTTCAAACTGTAGTCGCAGACACCAGCCCTCAATCGGAGTTGAAAGTGGCTTGTTGATCCATTGCTTCCCGAAGCCTCCGTAAGCTCACATGCCTAATTACCCCTCCTTCTCCGTTTTGCAGGGATGGGCAACAACAATTATAGGGATCAGAAAGAAATCAAACAAGCTGTAAATTTCAGTATATTTGCAGCCCGTAAACTGGTCTTTATCTGTCAACGGGAGGAAAGAAGGAAGAAAGGAAGGAAAAGGGCAAAAGGAAGCAGGGAACAAACAAACATAGCTCCAATGTACATACATACACGCATAAATACATCATCATGTGCCCCGGCCTGCTGAAGCTGAGCCAAGCCAAGCTAAACTATTTTAACAGTCCACTGCTTGCGCTCTGTGCCATCGCTGCTCCGCAGACTATGCATGCCCATGCACCCAGGGCTTGCAGGCCCTTGTGGAAGATCTCCTGGGTTGTCAGAAGTTGCTGACACGTGCACTTGCAGTTAGAGTATGACTTCCTTGCAAATTTTCCTAGGCTCAGTTCACGCCCTGCTGCACATGATGGTATGTCTTCTGGCCTTGTCGTCTCAGAGCCGCCATTGCAGCAGTCGCTATTGCAGTAGTCGGTCAACGGCAGTATAGTATAAAAGTTCATGTTCTGTGGACCAGATCTTAACTGGAGGGGAAAGGGAATCCTCTTATATCGAGTAGAGACCAAAAAGAGCTCGAGTAGCCGAAGCTCCTCTGATCTTCATTCTTTCTTGTGGGGGGGGGGGGGGGGGGNNTGGGAGGGTGGCACCCCTCTATGATTGTGACCCTCGGAATAACGCATATCTTGCATGATATATTGCGCATTAGACCTCGCAATCTCTAGGATTTTAGTTGCCGCATTATACGATGAATCGTGTTTTGCATGTTGTTGTACGTGTTATGTTTTAGATTACATACTACAGGCAGATCTGCACACCGGCACACGAGCCATCATCATCATCATCATTTTCGGGTATCGGTCAGGGCTCAATATGCCAAGAAATATCACGAAACGCGAGAACGATGGGAGACCTGTTTGGGATTAGGTTCTGTGAAATCCTTTGCGGAGGCGCTATGAAATGCCATGGTACATACCAGGATACTTGCCGAGGTGTCCAAACTACAATGCAAGGCCATGATGTAGCAAGCCCTCTTGCAGCTCTTTTGAGACAGATACGCCGACTCCAGGTACGAATGGAATTAGAATAAAGCCTGGAATATGCTGCCAGAAGAACAATTGCAAGTCGTAGTTGGACGTTGAAGTGTGTTGTTCTAGGACAGGTATATATAGATGCGCCGAAACCATGTGTTTGATGAAGCTGCTGTCGACATCTACGAGTTTTACCAGTTGGATGTGTGGCAAAGCTGAACCTTCCAGGCTTTGGGAGCATTGCTTCAGGCACTCGGTCAGGAATATGACGAGGCCACTGCGACTGCCCCGGATGCTTTCGTTGGTTATGCCAGCCCTCGTTGAAGTGCGACACTCGCGTGTCAAGACTTCTTGATATGCACCGGAGCAGCCGCGGGCAACTTGTTCCACACTAACTGACATGCTGACATGCTGGGTTTCTTGGGTCTAAGAGATTCGGGCATCACGCAGGGGGTCAAGCCTGCACCAGCGCATGGAAGGTCACGCAGCCAGATATCCACAAGACGGAGTGTACTGTGGGAGGTCCTTGTCTGAGGCAGTGTTGCTTCCAACTGCGATAGCACTGCCAGTTGCAGAACCGAGGAAAGTGGAAAGTGGAGCTGCTGTACATGTATGCAGATTGTCCTACTGAGAAAACGGTTGCGCCGTTCTTGGCAAAGCCCACTGAGTCTTTTGATGCTGGACTTTGCCTACCCGTCTGTGGCCCGAGGAGAAGCCAGTGGAAGTTGTAGTGGAGAAGGAGGCAGCTGACAGCATTTCTTCAGACAAGTGCAAGCACGAAATGTTGAATGTCCTCGAGGTACCCTTCATCGTCGAAGTGGAAAGGTCAGAGCAGTTGTTGTAGCTGGTTGCATGAGCGGCCTTGTTATAATGGGAGGTCGCGAGGAGTGGAAGCCTCGACAGGCCTCAGCACAGTTGCATGCTGTCCGAAGGGCTGTTGAATCATTGTCTTTTCTACATTGAACTACGCGCAGGCACACAGACCACAGCGCTTTGGTGCGCATATTGCGGTGCCCCTTCATGCATCCATCACGTCCTGTGCAAGGCTGCAGTCGCCGGGGTTTCAGAATTGACAGAGTGCTGCACAAGGTGCTCCTGGGCACAGCATCGCGGAGTGCCCGCTTCTCCGGTGGGCAGCATGAAGCGAACAATGCAAGGTCTGCGAATGTCTTCTCACGGCCTTCTGCGAGGCTGCAGCAGCAAGTTCGTCAACTGGAGCTCGAAAGCAAAAAACCCAAGCACCAAGACTGCCAGCTCTGTGGATGCCTTGGTTACTCGAGACTTCCAGGAGAGAGGGCAGTGCTGTCGGAGCTTGCAGCAGTTGTCGCTTGTCATATTCTTGCTGTGTGGGTCGAGAGGGAATTCAGGACAATCCTGGTCCGAGTATCAGACTCATCAGACACTTAAAGGCACGTGCAGGTCGACGCGGAAAGACCACCCCCTTCCCCCCCCCTCCAAGAGCATTGCATTCAATGCGGAAACACGGCTCTTTCAATGCGGAAACACGGCTCTGGCAGCTGGCCGGCGAAGCTTGCCTTTGGCTAGGGACCCTCCTCCACAAGACTTTAGTTGGCAATTGCGGCCAGGCTGCGGTGCATCGTGTGAGTCGCGAGCATCTGTCCCAACGTTCGGATGGCCATTTTGAACTACACCTGTCGAAGCACCTAATTTAAGCTAACCAGATTGTCTGCTTTGCATGTATTGATCCAAGCATTCCTCAGACTCCGGACTAGTACGCTCCAAGCGCCTCCGCACCACAGGTGGAGATGCTGATCATTTGGCACCAAACTGCCCAACACTGCGTCGACCAACCTGTTTTGATGCTTGTGCCAGACGCCCAGGTTGGCAAGTGCAACGGTTGAGTTTTGACCATAATCTTACCACACACACCAACCAGAGCACAGTACTTGCGTGCTGCATCGTAGCATACGCCTCCATCACTCTGAGGTCCAGACTGATTTGCAATGTCAGCTTTGCGACAAGCTGGGTCACATTGCCAAGCAGTGCCCTCTGCCCGTGCCCTAGAGCGGTTGCGAGTCGTTGGCTCTGCCATTTGCTGTCTGATAATGTCTGATACCACATGTGCTCAGGCTCGCTGCTTTGATGCAGAAATCAGTGGACAGCTTGGCCTCATAATGCGCAAGCACGCGGCCTGACATGTGCTTGGGGATGAGACGAGCTGAACAGGATGGGGCAACTGCCCGGATTCGAGTCGGCGGGGGATGGCTGATTGCCCCGCAGGTGCCGGCAAGCGGCTGTCCTACTCCTGCTACAGGTAGTACTCATGCTGACTGCTCCTAACAGTGCGTAAAAAAAGTGCGTGGCAGGTGCCAGGTTTGGGGGAGCCCGGCCTGAACGAGGCGTCCTCTTCGTCTTCTGCGGACCAAATCCCTTCCCCTTCAGCATTTCCTGGATTTCTCAGGAGGAGGCTATCCAGGCACTGGCAGCTGCCAACACGGCCGGCTGCATGACAAAGGCAGCGCTGAGCTTCAGTGTTGATTCTTGGCATTTCTTGGCAAGTGTGTCCATGCGATTCCGCAGCGATTTCGTGTACTCGTTGAGCATACGATTTCAAGCGTAGCCTTTGGCATCGAAGAGCCTTGTAGCGCCAGCCTACCGTTATTATTAAGTTATTATGACGACCCAAGTTAAGTGGCCGCATCCCAAGTGGCGGTCAGCCTGGATGCAGTCCGGGAGAAGCAACCATGGCCTCTCAGCCTCCTCTCGTTCCTTTACCAGATCTGGCGCGGACATTTGCGATCCTTCCGGGCTCCTGGCTGGGGTGTGCGAGCTGGCCGACAGGCTAGAATCGAACAGGACTGAGCTGCTGAACCTCAGGCACAAGTTGCAAACAGTACCCCCAGCTTCCCCAGAATTATTCGCTCTCGCGAACGAGGGTGGAATCCTAGAGCAGCGAGCTCGCGAGGGAGCTGCCCTGGTAGCGAGATTACGAACTGAAAATGCAGCCGCAGCCTGGTCTGTTGATTGTGATCGCCAACGAATCCGGTCCTTGCAGAAGGACAGGCAACGGTTGCTGCACGAGTTGGGTAGTTTAGAGCAGAAAGAAAGGGAGCTGCTGGAGTCTGCAAGAGAAGCTGACCGGGAACTGCTTCTGGAAAAAAGACAGGCCGAGGAGAGGACCTTTGGTCAGGAAACGGCTCTTGGCATCATTGCCAGCCGAGCAACTTCGGCAGAGCAGCGTTGGAAAGATGCTGAAGCAAATTCAAGCAAACTGCGAATTTCGGCTGCGGAAGCAGAATCTGCTTCTGCCACCACCAGCCGTATTGCAGCCGCAGATGTCGACAGATATTCCATTGAGATTCGCGAGTTGCAGAAAGCCTTAGCGCATGGCAATCAAACGCCACACATGCTGCAGTCGTCTGAAAGTGGAGAATCACGAAGTCAGCTTAACCACATGGTTCAACGGATGCAGCGCGAAGAAGCAAGTTGTGCAGAGTTGCGCAGAGTTCAGCAAATCCTGTCAGCACAAGTAGAAGACAGCCGCTTGAAACAAGCAGAGACTGAGAAGCGAGCATTACATGTAGCCCGTGAGCTCGTGGATTCCTCCCAGGCGATTGCATGGTTGCAAAATGAAGTGGCTGTTCAAAGAGAAGCCTGGGCAGAGCTTGATGCCTTGCGCTCCCACAATGACCTTCTTCGCCAGCAAGTGCAAGTGCAAAATACTTCCACTGACAGGGACTTCGTGACGGAGACTCCCGACCGGCAGAGCCAGTCCGTAGAACAGCCCGAGCTACGTGCAGTGAGCGAAGCTCTGCAACTTGCATGGGAGGGTGAGGCCAAAGGCCACCGGAAAGCGCAGCAGCAATTGCAAAGCCTTGAGATCTTGTGCTTGACACCTGCTCGCCAACAGCTCCTTCAATTTGCTGGCTTGTCCAAGCAATGGAGGCACTGTCTCAGTCGCTGGAGGTCTGCTGGACGAGAGAACGACCAAATCAGCCAGTCAGCTAAGGAGCCGACATTATCTCCAGGCACAGAGGAAGAACTCCGGCATTCGGTGTCTGTGCCGGCTGCTCATGACGTCTGTGGCTGCATTGAGAGTCTCGCACGCGAAACTGTTCACCAGCTGGTGCTTGCCAGGAACTCCGTTGATGAACGGCCTGGGACAGCTTGGCATGAGCAGTGGGCAGACACAGACAGGGGTCGTGGACCCAGGGTGCCCGCTGGTCAGATCCAGGCACTTGAGACGGAGGTGGAAGACTCCGATGCGCCATCCTTGACGTCTTCTTCTTTAAGCCTGCCTTTAAGAGAGGCAATGTATTCTCGATCCAAACTTCGCCAAGGCCGGGCTTATTCCTCCCACGCATCCCATGTGCCCACTGTGCCCATGCCTTTACGGGGCAGCGAGCCCATCGCTGGGACAGCGGGACCTTTGTATCGCCTCGAAGCTACAAGTCCACATGTGAGGTCTGTGAGAAGGAACAGCGCGGGCCACTCGCGATTGAGTTTGGATTTGGAAGATCGTTTTGATGAGTATTCTGTACATCGCCCCAGACAAGCTGGAGTTTAACGACGCCATACCGTACAAGCTCGCTTTCGGTAAATGCATCCCAGGCATTCCCAGGCCAGGAGGTAGAGTCCGCCATGGCAAAAAAAGTGGCGTGTGACGGGTCGGGGAGTCCTCAACCAACAACCAACAACCGCACAGGCGGCAAAACAGTGCGAACTAGTTACTACTTGCAGTTTTAAATCAGAGTCGGCTTACAGGACGCAGTTTTCCACTTCAGACTTCGATGCTGAGCAAACCTGCGGGTGTGTTGCAGCATGTGTCATCCGACGCCGTATTCATCGTTCGTGTTGGTGCAACTTACGTTCTGGATGCCGCTCCCGTCACAGATTTTGCAGGATGGGCAAGTGGTGTATTCAAAGCGAGGGGCCCATGATTGAAGGTGACGAATCGCACGAAGGGAAATGTTAAAATTTGGACTGAGGTCACGCTCTCCGTCCCGACCTCGAAGTGCTCCAGGTGAGACTCGCTCAGTGTCTCCCCGAAGCTCGAAGGCTGGGGCACGCTGGGGCGCTCGCGTCAGCAGCAACCTGTACCGCACTGACAGGCACAAACGCCCTCCTCCTCCCCGCAAAGGAGCCCCCGTGACTCACCACGGACCAGTACCAGCGCTCCCAAGGACACCTCGTTGCAGCGTTCATTCGTCGGGCCTGACCTCGTGGCCGCCGCAGGACCAAGCGAGAATCCTCGCCGCTGGGCCCATGGGCCCTGAGAGGTTCAAAGCCATGGAACAGGAGAGTAAGGGCATCAGGGCTTTCGGGCTTAATGGCTCAAGTTGGAGGCTCGGTTTCGGTCTAGATGCACGATTCTGCCGAACTTTACCAGTTCTGGGGACCTGCGTGGGTGGTGCTCAAGTATCAATCGGCGCAGTATAGACTTGGGCCACTTGGCAAGCTAATGGACAGCGCAGTGGAGGGAGACTGTGGATTTAGCTCGCATTATCTCAGCGATGACTTCATTACGGAAGTTCTGGAATGGCTCAGGAACTTGACGCTGAGAGATGTGTGCCAGCAAGAGATGACATCAAGTCAGACCATCTCGAAAGCCGTCGACGAAATCCTTCAGAATGCCACGAGGCAAACGTACCAACAAGCGAAAGCACTGAAGCAAAGAACGCAGGTCGAGGCGATCGCATCACAATGCCTGCGGCACATGCATTCGTGTGACCCTGAGTGCGACGTTGTTCTGGAGCTCGGAGCGGGCCAGGCCGTACTTGGACATGCCGTGTCCCTAGCCAGCAATCTGCCTCTTGTCGCAGTGGACCGTCGGAGTAACACCGATGCCTTGGCAAGCACAAGCACATTGAGGGTCCAGGCAGAAATCGCCGCTTTCACCACGTCTCTTCTTCCGGACGGAAACCATGCTTCGTCGATTGGCGGCTCAAGAGCAGCCATTGTGGTCAAGCACCTTTGTGGCCACGGCTTCGACGAGGCACTGGCCCTGGCTTTGGTGTTACACAAAGACAGCCGGTTCGGCTTCTTCTGTGGCGCTCCCTGCTGCCACGCCACGATGCGCTGGGCTTCGTTGAGTTCCGAAGTGTGCCGGTGGCTTCGGGAGCAAGGCATGCCTGGGACGCCCGACGAGGCGAAGGCGTTCTCCCTTCTGACTGACATCATTCGGCTTGCCCGGGTCGGCGCAGACTCAAAAGCATGTGGGAGATGGCGCCTTCGCCATCATGTGGACGACACGGAGGCTGCCTTGCTGGGTCGAAAAGTTTGCCGACTCATTGATGAAGGCCGTCTGGTCCACCTTGAAAGTCAAGGGTTGACGGTGCGGCTGTTGGAGTACTGTCACCCTTCCCTGTCCCCGGACAACATCTTGGTTTTGGCCAAACCCAAAGACCTTGTGAACGGGACTGAACTGCCACTGTCATGGCCCGGGCCTGGAGCAGGCTCTTTGACGCCTCTCTTACCACCTTCATGCATCTTGATCGAACTTGATCCGACAACCCCCCACAGCCTCACGGCCCGAGTCGCTGCCCTCCTCATGGAGATGAAAGCATCGGGATCCTTGCCCATAGCTGTGGCTGGTGTTGCAGATACAACCCATGTCCTCACGTGCAGCGTGCTTAGCACGGATTCGCTCGCGCTCACTGAGTTGCTGCAGTGCCTGGGCCACAGCCTGTTGCTGCAAAGGGTTGTGAGCCGCTATATGCCCCTCACAAGCACAGCGACGCAAGTATCGGATGTTGCAACGGATGCCCAGAGCGGGCTGAAAGTCGGCTCGCCCAAGACAGCTCAGTCGACACTTAGAGTTTCTGCCCGGCCAAGATCCGTCGAGCCTGATCTTTGCAAAGCACTTCCATCACAGATGCTAGATCCAGTAAATTTCACACATGTCTTGACCGTGTACCATAGTGTCGACTTCCGCTATTCCCTACTGCCTCGTAGCTGTTTCGATCCGTCCGCCTGGTCCAATGCCAAGCGTGAGGCACACAAGGAGTCGAAGGTTGCCTTTCGCTTCGTGGAGGCAGGGCTCCGCTGCAGAAGGCTTTGGAAGAGCGACGCCGCAAGCGCTGTGACCGGTGTGGTGATTTGGAGCGACACGAAAGAAGCCAAGTCGGACGACGAATGGATACGCTTCGCGAGCAAAGTTTGGGGCTCCGATACGGTGCTGGCAGAGCTGCGCCCCGCCTGCAGCTCGGGCTGGGCGGCAAGAGTTGAGACCTACAGCGACGTTTCTCTGGTTCCTTGCAGGGGGACTTGGTATCCGCTCGAGGATGGCAGGCAGGATGGGGCCTCTGGTAACCTGCTCCTGTTAGATGCAAGCAGCACCAACGAGGAGGCCATTTTGTTGGTGCGAAGGATTCTGCAGACTGTGCTAAGAGCTCCTTCCCCAGCTCTCGACAGATGTGGAACTGCAGTTCTGAGGCTGCGCTGTGGACGGCGGCCACGGGCCGTCAAACAATGGCTGAAAGACATGACCCATCTGATTGAGGAGACGTCATCCAAGTTCAACAGAGTGGAACTTCTCCACCTGCTGAGTGACCGCGAGAATGAGCGCACTGCAATTTTCTCTTGGAGCGGTGTCCCAACGGAGACGTGCTGTCGAACTGCCAGCGCGCTCGAAAAGTCTTCTTGTGTCCTCAAAGCTCACGTCGGGACCGGTTCCAAGTAAATTAAGTAAATCATGCTCAGGAGCGTGCGGCTTTGTCCGAGCGCATTCGTGATGGACAGGGTAAGCCGCTTGCCCCTCAGAGTGTTTGGACAAGTCCCACATGGGTTGAAAGCATGCAGAAGAGGCCTGACTTCCCGCCATCATGAGGCCCGAGCAGCGCAGTGGCTTCTTGTACGGCACGTTTGTGCAGGGTGGTCACGACAAGCATCCCAATTGCATGGGAAGATCGGTCTGAACTTGGTCTAAACATGCACACGCAAGAGTACCCTGCACCATCTCACACCCAGGCACCGTTTCAGCTCGGATCGGGGTGCTCGCTCCATGTACAGGGTCTATCGAAGCAGCGTCTCACAGGACCTGCAAAGATCTGCAACGTCCGTCCGTTTCTTCCTCCCAGTTCCAGCCTGATGTGAATCCAAAGCAGGACTCAGCGATGGATCCATCCGAGCTTCGCTCCGCCAGTCAGGATCTTGTTATTCTTGTTGTTCTGCATGGCCGGGGACAAAAACTCGGTTGAATTTTTTTGCAGATGTTTCAGGCCGGAGAAGTTCTGCGGCTCCTCAGGATGAGGCCGAGGCCGCATGTCGGCCAGATGCCTTTGCCGACCTGATCTCTTGCAAGGAGTCGGACAGCGATGAGTATGAGGCATGTACAGTTCGACAGAATCAGGGCAAGTTTGCTGTCACGTAACATGAGCTTCTCGCTGCTGCAAGCCGAGCATGCTGCCGGATTCGAAGGGAACACAGGACGTTCAGGCTTACGTGCACGCCCGCTTCATCCCGCTTCCATAATGGCTTTCATGTCGTTCCCAAGCCCCAGGAGTTTGCAACGGCATTCTCGACGTGACCACGAAGCGGCGTATTCACCATCAGACCAGACTGTACTTTCGAATCAATGAACAATGGCCAATGAACATGTCAAGTGTACTCAGTAATCACAATCACAGAAGGTCGAGTCGCAGACGAGACAGCTCAATTGAGCCGTGGTTTTTTTCGTTGCGCTTTTTCATTCTGAGTAGGCCTGGAAATCTGAATCGTTTCAGCCGAAGAATGTGCACGGGACTGTGTGCGCGGGAGCAAGCAGAAGATCTGCGGAAGCAATCGGTCCGCGGAAGTTCCACCTTAAGATATGTCCTGCCGCAGATATCCTGCGTTTGGCCTTGACATTGAATGTACATAATATTTGCCCGAAGAAGGAAACATTATGTTGCAAACCGTAAACCGAGGGGACGTGCGCGGAAGCTCCGCAGAAGGTGGACTCCTGGAAGTTGATCCCAAGCCCAGTCATACTCAAGTTGCAGTCATTGCCATGGTTTCGTTCCAGCGAAAGCCACATGTCTGCAAGCCCAAAGCCAGAAACATTGCACAGAGACGAAATACCATACCCAAAACAATCACACTTTTGGAAGTATTCACCTGCAGACAGACAGAAAACAAGTGCACAGGCACATTGCAGCCCACATGGCCCCGAAACAGAAGCCTTGGTCAAAGCTTTCAGCGGGTTGGAAAAAATGAGATCTCTGCAGATTTCGCGGAACAAGTCCAGCCTTGTGCTCCCTCTTCTTCCGAAGTCCGGGGTTGCTATCGGACTTGGAAGTTGCCCAAAGTAACCTATAAGCCTCTTCAGATGTGCTTGTTTGTGTCTTCGCGCGCTTTATGTAAGTGTGCATCAACATTTCAATTGTTTCTCCTTTGTTAGAGTTTAAGGCTATACGTGTGGTTTGTCCCAGCAAACAAGCCTCCTCAAGACTTAAGCCCGCGCTTGCGGAAGCAAGCCCGGCAAACTCAGCGAAACAACCGTTGCGGAAGGGAGCCGCGGAAGCTATACGAAAGTTGAGGTTTGCGGAAGCTAAACCCTCGCACGCGGAAGCAAGCGGAAGGGTCCTGCGGAAGGGTTTCCTTATTTATCTTATTTCTCCTCACACAAGCAGGAATAAAAACCACGGCTCAATTGTCGCCAAATGGGGGTGAGGTGGATGGGGTGGGGTGGGGTTTGGTTGTAGGGGGCGGATAGGACAGAGGGAAGTTCTGAAGGTACCAAACACTTGAAGAACGAGGGGCCGCGACAACAGACAACGAAGAAACGGCGAATGAAAGCAAGAACCTGATAAGGAACAGATAAACAACGCGAGAGGATGCAAACAAGGAGAAGGAAGCCTAAAGCTTCCCGAGGAAGATAAGAGGGTAAAGGTTTAAGCTGAAGCGTGTGGCCTTGCTGCAAGAGCAGCTGGGAGCTGCCGGCAGGGTTAGATTTTCGTTGCGAGACAAGCAGAGTGTTTTGCTTGACTGTGCGAGGCAAACAGTGGGCACGAAGTGTATAAAATCACAACATGAAGCGCTTGATTGGTCAAACACAAACAGGTAGGGGGTCAGTCAAAGCGAAAGGACATGACGCCGGCTATGAGGCGTAAGGGAGGGCAGCCTTTTGCAAAGGATGGCAAGCGCATCTTCGGTTCACAGGAAGTACCAAAAGGACCTTGCAACCTGGTGTCGACATGGCACCCAGTCATAAACTTCCCGCCGCATGGTGTTCTGTCGTTGATTTTTTGGTGAAGTTGTGTTCTCACGACAGTTTTAAGCACATTTTAAGGTTGTTTTGGGTAGGTAAAAAAGTGCTAAGTTTTGCTTGAGTGCTAGGAAACGTGTGGTATCAGCACGATTTCGGATGACAAAAAAATGAATGCCA